TTTCGGAAACACCATGTATATAATATAGCAACAAATACCTCGAAAGTTGTCTCCCTTGATATGTTATTTCATAAATGGTGTAATTTTCTTCTGTGACGGGAAAAAGTTCGACATTTCATCTCTGTTGCCAGGTTACAAAATGTCACTTTTCATAATAGTTATTTATGTATCAAGGCGTAAAGTAGCATATCATGAACCGCAGCGTGTAAGTAAAATTAACTCGCCTAGGTTTATTTACGCCCGGAATACATAGGCACAACATTTTATGTACAGGGTGATTGACCATAAATGTCCCGCCCTCTAGCTCACTTATTTTTGAACCGATTCAATGATTTAAAAAATAATCTGAAATGATTTTTCATAAATTTTTTTCCCGCATCAGAAAATACAAGGTGCTCGGAACAAACGATCTACAGAGTACTACTTGATTTTTTCAAATGAAACACCCTGTATTTCATTGTATTTTTAGATTCTTCCTGAAGAGCTGATTTCATCAATGTATCACACTTGGGGTCTAGCAGAAATGATTACAGAGATATAGGGTGTTCAAAATCGAGATTTTCGAACTTAAGGATTTTTTTGTGTCGAAACTATTTATTATTGGTCAAAACGGCTTCCATGTCCCTATTTCAACTTTTGATTTACTATCTACTTACATTCAATTGGAACATTTACAGGGTGGTTCAAGATTCAGAATTCTGATCACCCAGTATCTGTTCCAATTATTAAATGTCAGTAGATAGTAAAGCAAAAGTTAAGATACGGACATGGAAGCCGTTTTGACCGATAATGAATAGTTTCGTCACAAAAAAATCCTAAAGTTGAAAAATCTCGATTTTGAACACCCTATATATCTCTGTTATCATTCCTGCTAGACCCCAAGTGTGATGCATTGATCAAATCAGCTCTTCAGGGAGAATCTAAAAATACAATGAATAATAGGGTGTTCCAATTAAAACAATCAAATAGTACCCTGTAGATCGTTTGTTCCGAGCACCTTGTTTCTGATGTAGCTTAAAAAAACTATATCATTTGAGATGATATTTCAAATTTTGAAATCGGTTCAAAAATAACTGAGCTAGGAGGGGGGGGGACATTTATGGTGAATCACCTTGTACGATCGTTTCAGACATATTTTAATTCAAATAGAGAGAAACTCAAAGTCATTACCACAATAGTTCATTAAATGAACGAAAATGATAGATAATGAGAGAAAAACAACTACTTGCCTGGCTATACAGTCTGTCCAAGATAAGGTTGAACAGCATGGGGATCTCGGAAACGGTAGGAGATACGAAGTCGCTTAAATGGGGAAAAAGTTGCGCATTCGGAGGCTCATATCAAGAGCCTTCGAAAATTTTTAAAATTATTTTTAGTTTCTCAGTTATATCGAAAAAAGTGAATTTTTGGAATTTCTATTTTATTTTTTTTTCTCCGTTATTATTAGAGATACAGAAAAATTGAAAATACTTTATTTTTTTATGCGACGTTTCGTATTCGTGGAACCATCATCAACTTTTGTTTTCTGAATACGGTCCTGATAATTTTTTAACAGATTCTGAAAGGTTATTTTATTTTGAATTCAACCATGTACTATACAAGGTGATTCGAATGTGTTTCGACCTATTTCTATCCATCATCAATGTTTTTTCGAACTTCCAAAGGAAAAAAGCTATCAGTTCTCCTTATTTCTGATCATTTAGTGTCAAAACTGATGGATTAGTTATTCAATACTGAAAAGTGAATGAAAAATATTTCACTACATCATTCCATCAATGCAGCGTTTAAAATTATTGATGAATTCTTACACGAATTACTTCAACAACTTAACTTTGACAATACCTACAGAAACATTCATAACAAATGTTCAAAATGATAACCATTATTTTCTGAACAAAGATATCCTCTTCTCACAGTTGCTTCTAAGACATTACTAAGCATTTCTGGGGTTATTCTATTGAATGCTTCGAAGACACTGTCCCTTAGTTCTTCTTCATCATCAAAGTTATTTGCGTGTACAAAGTTCGATATATCCCCCAAGAAAAAATCCAGCTGTGTCAATTCAGGCGACCGCGCCGGCCAAGCGATAAAATTGCACGGACTTCTCTGGAATTATGTACCGGAACGCCATCTTGTTGAAACCAACAGGTCTGAATTTCCGCAATCGGTAAATCATCCAGAGCTTCCTCAAGATGATTCTCAAGCGAATTTCTATAACGTTTGGAAGTCTCTGTTTCATGGTAAATAGAAGGAACAATAATTCGTGTACCAAATATTGCAACCCACATATTAAAGCCGAAACGGTGTTGGTACGTGTCTCGCTGTAATGTATAAATGTTCATTTTCTCGTGAACAATAATGTGTATTTTTTCTATCGAAGCTACCATGATTAGTGGCCATGCTTTCATCAGTCCAGATGATTGTGGGAAATCTCCTGGTATACCACCCACAGAATGTCCTGCGCCTTTCGTCATCGCCTTGTTTTAGCGCTTGACATATTCTGAATTTTTATGGAAGGAATTTTTGTTTCCGCAAAATGATATGGGTTGTTGCTTGAAACCAGTTGTTGAGGTATTAGTGTGTTGACTAATTTTCCTTCAAAATAAGTGGAACTGATGGTATTTTTCTTTGGAATTTCTAAAAAACATTGATGATGGATGAAAATAGGTCGAAACACACATAAACCACTTTGTATAATACATAGTTGAATTCAGAATTGAAAACCTCTCAGAATCTGTGAAAATATTATCAGGACCGTATTTAAAAAACGAAAGTTGATGATGGTTCCACGAATACGAAACGTCGCATAAGAAAAACGGTATCACCACGTTGAATGTCATCAAAAGTTGCTATGAAAAATTATTCTCAGTTTTGCTGTATCTCTAATATTAACGAAGAAAAAAAAAATGAAGTAGATATTCCAAAAATTCACTATTTTCGATATAACTCAAAAACCGAAAATAATTTTTAAAATTTTCGAAGGCTCTTGATATGAGCCTCCGAATGCGCAACTCTTTCCCCATTTAGCCGACTTCGTATCTCTTACCGTTTTCGAGATCCCCATGGTGTTCAACCTTATTTTGGACAGACTGTATACTCCCGAAATCTAAGCAATAATCCGTATAGACGAATAAAATCGCAAGTGTTTCCTTCCAAAATGCCGAGCTGCGCCTAAGTGGTTCAGGAACGCGTGACTACCTGCAGACCGGTTTCGAGCTGTTGGCTCTCATCAGTACAGGGCTGTCCCAGATAGTTTCTTGACCGCTATCTGGTGCGAACCTGAACCAACGTAAACGCATCTCAGCATTTATACCCCATGAGGCGTTCAACGTCCGCGAAATGAAACGCGAACGTCGAACGCCACCGAGCAAGGAAAGAAACACTCCAAGAAAAGATGCCATTTCAGGTGAAATGGGAGTGGCTGATTGCCCGACTGGCGTATTTTCAACTAGGAAAAAGCCAGTTTAGGAAGGAAATAAATAAGTATTGTGACGGAAAAAAGTTTGATATTCCATCTTGACCGGTTATAAAAGGTCACTCTCATAAATTACTTTTTTCCCACGGGAAAAACGTGAGTACTGTTTTCCCGGATATACAGGGTGAGTCATTAGTGTGGCAAAGTGAGATAACGGCTTTACTGTTTCGTGCGCTCTAAGCGATAAAAAAAAAAAGAGATAGATGAAAAAAAATTTCAGAGATGATCTAGGATCATGAGCAGAACATTTCCAAATTATTTCTCTTATATAGGGTGACTCAGAAATGCTTGGCGTATCAAAGTAATACTTTTTTTTATGCCATTGCATTTTCGCATTCTCCTTCGTGAGCTGATTTTATCGTGAGCTGATTTTATCAATGCATCACACTTGGGGTCTAGCGAGAATGACTACAGAGATATAGGGTGTGCAAAATCGAGATTTCTCAACTTTAGGATTTTTTTGCGTCCAAACTATTCATTAATGGTCAAAACGGCTCTCATGTCCGTATCTTACCTTTTGCTTTACTATCTACTGACATTTAATAATTGGAACAGATACAGGGTCATCAGAATTCTGAATCTTGAACCACCCTGTATTTGTTCCAATTAAATGTCAGAAGATAGTAAATCAAAAGTTGGGACAGGGACATGAAAGCCGTTTTGACCAATAATGAATAGTATCGACGAAAAAAAATCCTAAAGTTGAAAAAGCTCGATTTTGAACACCCTATATCTCTGTAATCATTCTCGCTAGACCCCAAGTGTGATGCATTGATGAAATCAGTTCACAAAGGAGAATGCGAAAATGCAATGAAATACAGGGTGTCCCATAAGAAGAAGTATAAAGCGAAATAGTTTGGAAATGTGCTGCTCATGTTCCTAGATCATCTCTGAAATTTTTGTTCATCTATCTCAAACAGTAAATCCGTTATCTGACTGCCACACTAATGACTCTACCTGTATATCACATATATACCGGGTATTTCTCAAAAGTGGCTCACCCCTATACGTTTTTAGTTTATACAGATAAACAAATGAAATTTGGTGTGTAAGTATAGTACATAAATATGTATTATTTGGCGTATTCAATTGTTTTCTGTCACTTCCGGTTTGACCAGAAGTGACCCATATTATCTCATTTTAAATGGGACACCCTGTATATTTTTACATATTTCTGTAGAGAATAACATTCTGAAAATTTCATGACAATAAATGTCAAAAAGTGGTAAATGGGGGGTCATTGTACTCACAATAAAACAAATTATACAATAATACAAATTGATAATAAACATGATTTTTAAATTTTTCATGAACCTTCCCACACTGATATCACTATTCATAACAATTCAACACACCCTTATCAACATAAAATTGCAGCATATAATAGTATGATACACAGGCTAGTGAAGTACTCACTTTTTTCCACGGGAAAAAAGTAATTCATGAAAAGTGACATTTTATAACCTGCCAACAGAGATGAAATGTAAATTTTTTTGCCCGTCACAGAAAAAAACCTAATTTTCAGTATCACGATGTGGCGTACGACTTCGTCCGATACAACTCCTGCCTGTTCATCAGACTCATATTGCATCGCATCGGCCACGACACCAATTTGGACAACGAAGTGTGCGACTTGATCGAGGAGGCCATGCTAGAGCGAACGCAGGTGAGCGACCGTGATATACAGGTTGAGCGTCCGTGATATACAGGTTGATTTATGGTGGATGGCACATTAGACGTTTCTAGAGAACGCAACTCAGGATTATTCTGAAAAGTTGGTGCCTTGCATAATTAGTTGTGTTCTATTGACCTGAAATATTCTCAGCGTTGCGCCGTTGCCGCTTATAATGAAAAGTAGCAACAACTTTGGTTAATTAAATGGGACACCCTATACAGCGTGTCTCACTTTAAACGGCCCCCCTTTATATCTCAGTTATTAGTCATGCGGTTCCAACCAAATTTGGTGTGGTATAAAAAACCATCAATATGATCAGTTTTACAGAGATGCACATTATTTTGGACAGTGCCGTGCGATTTTATTGAAATAAAAAGGGGTCGATTTTTCATAAAATCATATTAGGCATTTTTTTACAGGAAATCTAACCCCATATTATTGTTCCTCATGCTTTCGAACCCCCATATGCAAAAAATCACCTAATTCCGAATTAACAGGATTGGCTTCATTTTTTTCATTTTCAGTCTCGCATATACAGGCTGATTTTAAAATGAGTGCATATATTCAAGACATATATATGAGAGAGTCTAACAAAAATTACTAAAATATTAGATTTTTCCTAAGTCTTCACATTAACGAGAAATTTCATTTTGAAAATTGAACATAAAATGCTTCGAAATTCGAGTACGCCACTGGGAAGCAAGTGAAATCTGCGGAATCCCAGGGATTCTCCAATTCGTCATTCACTAAAGTCAAAACAAGACAGTGATGCCAGATTGTTTCAGAGACGAATATCCTGATAAAAATTTGTCACAGAATGAATATGAATTGAAATAGGTTATGGAAACTAATAGAGGTGAATGTAACTCAGATGAAGAAAGGGACATTCTTCATCTGAGGAATGTAATATGTACAGGAGCCTTATTTTTTAAAGTTCACTGAGAGAACTGTGGGGTGATTATCTCCATGGATCACGAGAGACGGATAGAAACATGAGGGGAATGATAGAACGTACCCCTTCCTTCCACAAAGTTGAAAATCGACTCACCTAGTAGATTTTCTCATACCTGCTCGAACAGCAAAACTCCCGAGAGCAAACAAATACTAATATCGAGTCCATTCCAGACTAATATCGTCCTGTTCTTGTTGGTTCATATTCGCACTTAAACCATCGAAAACGACTCGACGACGACACATCCTTCCTGGCAATCTCACATTGAAAATCACGACCATATCACGATTATCACGACACAACATCCAATTATTTTATTTTTTATTTTACGTTTACAATTATTCTTGCAGATGATTCCTGAAGATATATCGTAGAGAAAACCACTTGAAAAACTATAAACTTTAATAGACACTGACAACCAACTAGTGACAAATATTCACAGTTATCAAAACTTATTTATGACATAATATACAGAGATATCTAGGAAAGAGATATTATACAGGGTTATATAATAATAAACATCTTATGTTCATCATACATCAACATTCCCCCTTGAACTGATGTTTGTTCCAATCTATAGTAACACCTAGTAGCTCTCTTAATTTCTCAAATCTGGGTTTGCATAAAGGCTTCGTCAGGATATCAGCAATCTGATTTTCACCTGAAATATGCTGAACTTTGAATATCCCGTCTTCTACTTTTTCTCTGATGAAGTGGTATCGAACATCTATGTGCTTGGACCTTTTATGGAATTCTGGATTGTGTATCAATTTCACAGCACTAGCATTGTCAATCCATAAAGTTGGAGTAGGGTTTTGACTTATCGATGTTTCACGTAAAAGACCACACAACCACACAATTTCCTTTGCTGCTTCACTCCCAGCAATATACTCTGCTTCCATCGTTGATAGTGACACAGATCGTTGTTTCTGACTAAACCAAGTTATAGCTCCAGAATTATGTTTGCAAACGAACCCTGATGTCGATTTTCTTGTGATTGAATCACCTGCATAGTTTGAGTCGCTATATGCTTCCAGTGAACCAGAACCAGGTTTGTAGAAAATACCATATTCCGTTGAACCACGAAGATACTTCAGAATTCTCTTCACAATTTCCCAATGATGGTATTTTGGACAACTTACATATTGTGACACAAAATGTACGGCAAAAGTTATATCAGGTCTCGTTGCCACTGATAAATACATAAGGCTTCCAACAGCAGACCTGAAAGGAACCTCCAATGGCAAATCTGTCTCCTCGAATGCTTCATCTACTTGACATTTTTCCATTGGTGTCGCTACAGGGTAAGATTCATGCATATTGAATTTGTGTAGAATTTTCTCAGCATACTTTTGCTGACTAATAAAAAATCCTCCATTTTCAGGTTGTTTTATTTCCATCCCAAGATAATATTGGGCTGAACAAATAGTGATTTTGAATTGTTCACGCAGTTTCTCAAGAAATTCTTCATTGTTGCTAACATCCACACCAAGAACTAGTCCGTCATCTACATAGAGTACTACCAATAATTTAGTTGGCACATCTCTAATGAATAAACATGCATCCGATGAACTCTGCTGTAATCCACAACTATTCAGAAAGTTCGTGAACCTACGATTCCAACATCTTGGGGCTTGTTTTAATCCATAGAGACTTCGTTGTAGTTTACATACTAAATTACTGCCATCATGATAGGGCTTGGGTTGTTCCATGTAGATATCCTCATCCAACGAACCATATAAAAAAGCAGTCTTCACATCGAACTGACTTAGTTTCAGATTTTCAGTGGCAGCAATGGACAGAATTGTTCTTATAGTATCGAACCTTGCTACTGGTGCAAAAGTTTGATCAAAGTCGATACCAGCTTCTTGAGAGAATCCTTTTGCTACAAGTCTAGCCTTATACCTAATATTTCCTAATGAACTATCCTTTATTTTGAAGATCCAACGATTTCTGATGACTTTTCTTCCTGGAGGTAAGTCAACAAGTTTCCAGGTGTCATTTTCTATAAGAGACTGCATTTCCTCTTCCATGGCATCCTTCCACATTACGGATTCATTCGAGGAAAGAGCCTGTTCTAACGTTTCAGGTTCTTCCATAGAAAGCATAGCAAAAGAATCATGTTTTTCTGGCTTCTGTAGCTTGGATCTGTCTCTAAGCCTTGGTCTAGATGCTTGTTCTCCTGAAGATTCAGAACTACATTGAGTATTGCTTTCTTCCTCTCCATCAATTTTGTTCTGGTCATGCGGCAATTCATTTTCGAGCAATTTACTGTCTGCTTGCGGAATATCACCATGAATTATCGTCGTTTCTTTGACAATTTCTTCAATTTTGAATACCACATCTCGACTTCGAACAACATCATTTTTGTGAGGAATCCATACTCGATATCCATCTTTATTCTCACAATATCCAACCAAGTAACCTTTTTCGCTTTTTCTCTCCCATTTGGTTCTCTTTTGTTTTGGTACATGTACAAAACACTCTGTTCCAAAAATCTTGAGATGATCGATTGGTGCTTGCTTTCCTGACCAAATCATAATTGGAGTCTTGCCTTCTAGGGGTGTTGGTCCACTTCTGTTCAAAATGTATGCAGCAGTGTTTACAGCTTCTGCCCATAAATGCTCAGGTAAATTCTTTGCATGTAACAGAGTACGAGCTGATTCTACCAGAGTACGATTCTCCCTTTCTGCTGCACCATTTTGTTCGGGTGTATAAGGCATTGTGATTCTATGATGGAGTCCATACTTCTGAGTGATCTTCTTCATTTCTTGATTGTCAAACTCTTTGCCACCATCAGTCAATAGCTCTTTTACTGTATGACCAACCACCTTAACTTCTGACAGGAAGGCTTCCAGTTTCTCTTTCATTTCTGATTTATGTTTCAGGAAATATACAGTACGATACTTACTGTAGTCATCTTTGAAAATCACATAATATCGTGCACCACCAAGTGATTTTGTTGCCATTGGGCCGCAAACATCTGCATGAATGAGTTCTCCAGGTTGAACTGCTCTGTTTACTCTCTCTCCAAAACTTAGACGATGTTGTTTACCAAACATACATGCGTCACAAAATTCTTGGTTGACTGTGACTTCAATACCATTATTTTTCAATACCTTTTGTACATGTCTTTTATTTTGATGTGCTAGACGTTCATGCCAGATTTGCAAAGTATCAGTTTTAGCTATATGAACTTCAGCAGGAAGACGAGGAATTACCACTCTGAAATTCATTAAGAAAAGACAATTTCTCCTGATTCCCGTTGCTACAACATGTCCATTATCCAAAATCTTGCATACATTTTTCTCTAAACATGAGATCATCCCCTTATCAACAACAGCAGGTATTGAAAAAAGATTTCTTCCAACTTCTGGAACAAACCATACATCTTTCAGGTAATTTCTGTTCCATTTTCCATCAATGTTCATCTCAACATCAATATTTCCTTTACCAAGAGCCTGTATATGTTGACCATTTCCAACAAGAACGAATTGAGGATGCAGAAACTCTTCGAATGAAGAAAACCAATTTCGATGCATTGTCATATGCTGAGTTGCACCGGAGTCAGCAATCCAAATTGCATTTATATCCATTTCAGTCATAGTAAATGCATCAGAAACAAATGCTGAACCTTGTGTAGAACCATCTGAAGTTCGATTCGAATTTGCAGTACAATCTTTCTTGAGATGTCCTCTAACACCACATCGATAGCATTTGAATGTCAGTTTCTTCTTCTTTACATCAGTTTTATTAGAAGAATGTTTCGATGATGACATTGTCGAATTTTTTGAAACAACAAATGCTGTTTTATCGCTTGAACTGTTGTTTTCTTCCCGTTCTTGAAGGCGCATTTCTACTGTACACAGTCTTTCTTGTAACAATTGTATTGTTCTTTGATTCTTTGGTACAGATTCCCATGCGTTTAAAAATTCAAAATATTCAGATGATAAAGTGTTGAGTACTCTATTCATGAACAAAGATTCTGGTAACTTAACGCTATCTTCTCGCCAAGTTTCATCTTGCAATTCTACCCAGA